GATGCTGGGCACACTCAGAAGATGCTGGGCACACTCAGAAGATGCTGGGCACACTCAGATGATGCTGGGCACACTCAGGGGGTTGCTGGACACATACAGAGGGTGCTGAGCACACTCAGGGGAATGCTGGGCACACTCAGGGGGATACTGGGCACACTCAGGGAGATGCTGGGCACACTCAGAAGATGCTGGGCACACTCAGGAGATGCTGGGCACACTCAGGGTGCTGCTCACGTCAGCCCGAGCTGCTCCTGCTCCTCGTCCCCTGCACTTGAGCCTGTGCCATCTGCCTCTGCCACCAACTTCTCAGTCACAGCGCTGTCCTGGCCCKGTGGCTCCAATTCACTCCTGGGAGGGAGAGGACAGGGTCAGTGCTGTCCCACATGGGTCAGTGGCAGCCGTGGCCACACAGCCACCCAGCACTGTTACCTCTGGACGCTGGGCCAGCGCTGGACCCCCTCTGGCTCCGGGTCACTTGCCAGGGCTGCTCGGCTGTCAGGGCTGGCACCTGGCTGGGCACCGAAGGTGGCAGCATCAGTGGGGACCCAGCCCCTGGTTACACAGCCTGGGGACAGAGCTGGCTGTCCCCCCTGAGCGTGTCCTTACCAAGTGCTGCTTGGGGATGACGGCGATGCTGACTCTGCGGCGGGCAGAYCCCTGCAACAGAGGGGCTGGGGCTGAGCCCTGTGTGGCTGCTTCCCACCCCCTCCTTCCCCACCACTCCYCAGCACTGGGTAGGGGACACCAAGGGACACTGCCAACTCCCACTGGCCCTGCTGCTAGGAGGGGAAGCTGGAAAGCCAGGGAAGGTCAGACCAGGAGGTTTGTGCCTGCTGTTACTGCTGCACGCTGTGCTGGTGGGGCTGCCTAAACCCCTCCTGAGCTACAGGGGAATCTGTGGAATTCAGGCTGGTGCTAAAGGACAGCCAAGCCTGCAGCTCTTGCACTGTGACCCTGAAATGGAATAAGGATCTGCCTGAGATTGCTTGGGCAGGCAGTCCCCAGCTTGCTGAACACCCTGTCTGTGTCCCCACAGCTGCCCCTACATTTTGCCCCATCCTGGCACTTCCAGCAGATCTTCCCTGCAGCAAGCAGCTGGCCAGAGTGGCATTGCTGGGGAACTGCCAGGTGTGTGGGGACAGTCAGCTAAGGGAGGGTGACAGGACATGAGGAGGGAGTGGCTCCGAGACTCCTGAACCGGGATCAGTTACCTGCTGGAAAGTTCTCTTCAGAGGGTGAGGCTTCAGCCGTGGCTCCACATCATCTGGGAGCAAAGAGAAGCTGCTTTACATCACCCCCCAGTGCTGAGATGGGCAGGTGGTCACAAACTCCCTCCCACTGCAAACTGGCCTGGCCCCGTGCTGTGTTCTGGGCTAGGGGACATGGTGACACGCACAGCAATGGCACCTGTGGGGCTGGGTGTTCACAGACAGAGTCCTTTTTGTGCACGGGGCCCCCCTCTCTGCATTCCCAGCTGGGTTGTGGCTCTCTGGCCACCAGCACCTGCTCCCACGCTGATCTGCTGCTCCACTGTCCCCT